CCGTTGGTCCCGATTTTCATAGGCGAATTTTGTTTAGCGATGAAGCGTACTTCTGGTTGAATGGCTACGTCAACAAACAAAACTGCCGCATTTGGAGCGAAGCTAATCCTCAAGTGTATGTCCAAACACCGTTACATCCAGAAAAACTGACTCTTTGGTGCGCTTTATGGGCTGGTGGATTCATTGGTCCGTACTTCTTCAAAAACGATGATGGCCAGAACGTTACAGTCAATGGTGATCGGTATAGAGTTATGACTACTAACTCTTTCATTCCTGAATCGAATAACCATGATGTCCAGGAGATGTGGTTTCAACAAGACGGCGCAACATGTCACACAGCTCGTGCCACAATCGATTTATTGAAAGACACGTTTGGTGACCGCCTAATTTCACGTTTTGGACCTGTGAATTGGTCTCCAAGATCTTGTGATTTAACACCGCTAGACTATTTTCTGTGGGGCTATGTAAAGTCATTGGTCTATGCGGATAAGCCACAAACGCTTGACCATTTGGAAGACAACATTCGCCGTGTTGTTGCCGATATACGGCCACAAATGATGGAAAAAGGCATCGAAAATTGGACGTCTAGACGTCCGCGCCAGCCGTGGCGGTCAGTTGCCAGAAGTCATATTCAAAATGTAATGCCACTCACATTTATGTCAATCGAATAATCCATCGTTGTTTTATTGCAACTTAAAGTTCTTTTTCTACATCGAAAAAAAACAGATGGTGCATTATGTATTCCATCATCTCCGAGATCACCGATGTGAGTCTGTGTTTCGGACACGTTGTCAATAAATAATTTGACTTCCTTTGGTTTTGAATAGGCAACGAAGTATTCTCTGAAGATGGTCTGGGGATTATTTGGTATGCCAAAAAATATAACCTTTTAAAATAAGCCACTGCGGCATCGCATTGGTTATGTTTCACAACTTTCTGAAATTCCCGCCGAAATGTGTCCCGAAGTCCTTTCCACTTTCACTTTGCCACCTCACCTAAAAGTAAAAAAAAAACACCATAATAGATACCATGAATAATTTAAAATATTTATTATCTAGGCATTATACTATGGAGTAGAGTGATCTCAATTATTAAATTGCTTTTTAGCTTAATATATAAAAATTAGTAATATTATTGCATAAATGTAAAAAATGCTTAATTAGTCTTTTTAATTTATTTTAAATTTCAACTGGATTTGGATTTCGTCCTCTAACTTATTCTTTTCGAATGTCCCATAAAGCGATTGCATCGGTTGCATGAAGAAAAATACATTCGCATTAAGGGTACGAAAAAGTCAGGTGCTATGTTTTATAATTGTAGAAAATACTTTTCTATAGTGTTACAAGGGGTAGCCGGTGGAAAGAAGGTATATGCCAATCTAATAACTTCAAAAAAGAAACTTTTAAAGGGTATTTTAACAGTGGACTAGGTGCCATACCTCAACAATATGTTAACATTAAGCCATACCGACATAATACATATATTAGGCCAAATAAACCATTTTTACCTACAGAAATTTTTATTGAGGTTAGCAAAGGTTTAAACGTAATCTAAAAGTCTAAAAAAGATATAGGTACTTACTGCTAACGCCTAATTCAACTGCTACATTTTCCCTTAGTTTCCGTAATTTGGCACGATTATGATATCCTTTACATTTTTGGTCCCACAAAATCTTTTTATCAAACATAAAAAAAATAAGCTTTTCACAATCCGTACTAAATATTTTATACCAATTATAAAAGAAAAATAGCCAGGATTCTTTCTGACATTCGCTCGTCTTCGCTTGAAAAAAATTAACCCTTTCGAACTTTCAGCGAAAATCAGCAATTTAGGCGGCTAATTCACTTCTATTGTAACTACCAGCTGTTTCTGTGTGGTTGTTTCCTTCGTGCTAGTTTGCACGAATTCGCGCCTGTAACCGTAGCCTTAGGTAGATATCGCGCGACAAATATTGCGAAAAAATAATATGTTTATTTTTTATCTTAAATGAAAAATAGATAGAATAATAAAATATTACGGAAGTATTACTATTATAAAAACACACTTGCACATTTTGCATATTTTTGTATTTTTTTTAAACCTAAATTTAAAGAAAAGATAACTTATTCAATGACATTACTAGAAACTCTTTTTTTCTATAAAACTTACAGTTTTTAATTGATCTATTCATGGGTAAACTAGGAATAAATACCATCTTTACAAACAACTTATTTAAACAATCTAATAAAAACGCAACAAATAAGCAAGACTTGGACTGAAGTAGCTTTTACTTGATGAAAATCCATTTACCACAATTAAATTAGAAAAAAAAAAGTTCATTTTCACAGTTTTTAATGATTTATGACAGCTGTTTTGCCAACACCGTGCCTTTATTAAATACAAAATATGACAATATGGGGTTATAAATTTAAATTTAACAACGGAGACGCATTTAAATCCAGTTGGTCATTAAGAAGTAGATTACAATATTTCATTTTGTTAATCTCCATAGCTTCCAACAAATTCAGTTTTTTGCTTTTTGTTTGATTATGCACAACTTTGACCATAATTTTGATGTTTTACATAATCAATCAAAAAGCCCAAACTAAATTTTTTGGAAGCTATGGAGATTAACGAATCTATTACTTAATGACCAATTAGATTTAAATGCGTCTCAGTCGTTAAATTTAAGTTTATAACGGTATACCGATAATTAAACATCTATTACTACCTTCTTATATATAGGTACAGGTGTCGGATTATTTTGTTTTTGATAAAGGCACGGTGTTGCCGAAACAGCTGCCATAAATCATTAAAAACTGTGAAAATCTGAACATTTTTTGTACTAATTTAATTGTGAATAATCAAGACATCTAAGGCAAAACAAAAATTCAATTTTTATAGTATTGAAAATACATGCCTTCCGATGCATTTATCCTAGGTATCATTGGGTCCCTAATAAGTCGGAATTCGTTTGGATTATTAGTTGTATCATTTAAGAGATTATCCTATTTCTTAAGACATCGATATGCTGCTTTGGGATAGTGTAGACTATTTTTTTAGATATCTCCAGACACAATAATCGAAAGGACTTCATATCCAGCGACGTTCAAACGCATAATTTAAAAATGAAATGTGGTGGTGCATCATCATATATGCAATACATGTCTCTTCCAGTTAACAGCTACATATTTTCTAGCAAATAACGTAATTATTATTGTAGAAAACGAAAATAGGACTCACCACTTAATGGTAGAAAATATGCTCTAATTAAATGATCATTGATAATTCCTAACGAAATTTTAAGAGCAAACTGATATTCTGCGTATACATGGCTGTTGTGAAAATTTTCAATTGCAGCCCTTGAGAAACTAGTTTCGTCCGAAAAGACCATTGTTGAACGAAAAGAAGATGATCGGTTTTATTTGTCTAAAATATTGGGAAAAAATCATCCTCAGTTCGAAATCTCTTTGTCAAGAGCTTGAAGTTGGAAAGGATATAAATGTTGTTCTCCAAATATCCTTCATACAGTTGATGCATCAGTTCACCAAATTCTGTTTCAATTTTCGTGGTACTTGTTTCCGGTTGCTGTTTCGTAATTTTTAGCACAGCAAATTTTATGTTCCAACTTCGTAGTGTCGGCCAATATCAAAACTCCTTTCTTTGTAACTTCCAAATTCATGTACCTTTTGATGAAGCCTGATAAGCTGTGATGATGAAGTTTACGATTAGGATATGCTTGCATATAAAAACGACAATCTTCGGAGAAAAAAAATGAGTCGCAGTAATATTTTAGATTATATTTTTGTATTTGGAAACGGTAAGTAATGTTTAAAAAATGGCAAAAGATAAAAAAAAACGAAAACAATACTTGGTAATGTAAAAAGAAACATTCCAAACTATCACCACCACATTTTCTATTGGGAGACATTCAACCTGGTCCACATCTCTGTTTCCGCCTCCTATGCCATGACAACAGTAAAAGGATGGTAGCCACGGTTTGAGGCGAGAGATAACGCCGCAAACGTCTACTGTTTTTCAACATTTTCATTATGATGAGAAAATATAGTTGTATCTTAGCATCTTAACACCCTTTATTTCCGAAAATAAATGTTTTCGTTTTTACAGGAATCTCAAGCTTATTCGAAATTTTATGAGCTAATTCCGGAATAGTAAAAAGTATCCGCAAACCTCATTTTCCAGTTTTGAGAAATCAAAATATATGTCTGTAGTTGTTTGTTTGATTGGTTGATCTATTTTGTGAAACACGAAAATGTCGTTCATTTAAATGTACTAAACTATCAACTACAATAGAAGCAAACCAAATTGTGGGAATTTATTAATGCGATCATATAATAAAAAACGTAGTAACCTAAAAAGAAATACTCTTTGTCATTGTCCTGTTTATTTGTTTTTAATAAAATTTTGGAAGTTTGTAGATAGGTTAACATACAACTTGGCAACAATGGATTACAGTCAAACAATTTTACGCCTTCTAGTCTTAGTGTTTAGCCTCAATTTGCACTATTAAAATATGAATGATGTTTTCTCTGTCGTCAAAGGTTAGTATTCAACTTGTTCAAAAATATTTCTTTCTTTCTGCTCACCATTATGATTCACGTATTGACTTAACCCTCAGATTGACCAACGCATCAAACATTTTGCAGATTCCCTAGAATAGCGTCTCAATTTGCAAATTACCGAAAATTGGAGTGAGTTTCATAATGCTTGATAAATTGATCAGGAAAGATACTGCAATAATAATAAATGTGTGAATAAAATTTTGGAAGTTTGTACCTCTTTGGTATGTTTATGCTCAAAAAGTACGAATGTTAAAAAAAACATTTCTCCTTGCTTGTATCCTTCTTTCGGTGGAACTATATTTCAAAGAAGAAGGCACCCTCTTCCTCAACTAATATTAGTTAATAATTTTTTTTTTATTTTTATTTTTATTATCATCGCTAATAAGGTAAGAAAAAGCACGACCGCATCATTTCGCAAAGTCTATTAAAACACCGAGGTATATATTTATACATACAATCAAGTTTATTTCATCCGCTTCGCTCAAATAAACGACTAAAAGAGATCCTTAAAACTTATTGAACTAAGTTTTAACATTACTTCTATACACAGTATAAAGAAACTTTGTAATCGATATTAATGAGATTGTATCTACATTCGCGACTATAAATCATAAACCTACTTAATAAATATTGCAACGATTAAATCACATTAAAGTCTGTTTTACGTCTTTGGTCTTTCGTGAGATGTTCGTTATTTTACAAGAGAATCGCTAATCATACTAGTGGTTTCATCTGGCCCATTCCTCGGCCACCGACAACGGTGAAAAAGCTGACAACTGATTGGGTATCTTGCGTAGCACGATATCCGGACTTTCGGAAGTCTTTCTGGAACTCACTGCTTCGTCCGTGTGCTTACCCCCGTTGCCTATTATGGAATCTATCGAAAAGCCGTTTTTGGATTTCTTGTGAACGTCCGTCGGTAGGTAATCTTCCGTATCCTGATGCGGCGGCTGCACCGGCACCGGCTTGCAAATATTCGCTTGAGGGAGCAACCCTAAATGAGGTATTCCTAACCTCGACAAATCCATCGGACTTAAAATAGGCATATTCGGCGGTATGCTGGGCAAGTAACTGTAGGGATTGTGCAAGCCGGGGTGCGAGAACAAACCAGAGTGGTAATTTTCTTGACTTTGCAGGAAAGAAGCGACCATAGCCGACGCGTGATGATCTCTGAGCATCAGACTCGGCGAAGGCCGCTTGTAACGTTTCCTTCTTCTTAGGAAACTGCCGTTGTCGAACATATCCTCTGCTAACGGATCTAGAGTCCAGTAGTTGCCTTTTCCCGGGTTCCCTGGCTCCCTCGGGATTTTTATGAAGCAATCGTTGAGCGACAGGTTGTGGCGGATCGAGTTCTGCCACGCGGGAAACTTTTCCCGATAATAAACGAACCTGGTCATGATAAACTCGCATATGCCGCTCAGCGTCAGCTTTTTCTGAGGTGACTGCAGTATCGCCATCGTAATCAACGCTATGTACGAGTACGGAGGTTTGATCAGCTGGTGTCCCGATTTCTTCTTGTCTTTGCCCTTGTTATACTCTTCTTCGTTTTTGATCACGTCGATCGCTGATCCCCTCAAATCCAAAGGGCTCTCGGCTAGCGGGTAACCCTGATCCAATACCGTGTCGCCTTCTTTTATGCCTTCGGTCGCTGGATGACGACACTGTTCTTCCATCGCTAACATTTAACCGGTGCACAGATTTCACTTAATCACACGCGAGATAAGGGACCTTCTTCCGCGCGAACGGCTTATCATTTAAAAAGCGTTCCAAGTTCATGCGTCTTTTTAAATACGCCTTATCTTTAAATCGCCGAACATCGAATATATACACGATAACGATCTGCTTTAACGCACCCACTCCATCGTGATGGCGCGGTGACTTTGAGTCGCCGGATCGGATCTGCACCAACTGCTTTCTCGAAATGTTATACCAATATTATCTTGTCAAGAACAATGATGGTTCAAGCCACCACATTTCCGGCTGCGATATGAGAAAACAAAGCGGTCGAGGTGGCGGGGATGGCCCCGCCCACGCTTCTCCCGCCGAAGCAACGCCCATTTCACCCCCGAGGTATCGGGTTTACGTAAGGATTTTCGCGTTCCCAAAGTGGGATTGTTGTTCGGTCTGAATGTCGATTGATTTTTTTCGCCCCCTTCGTTTTGTAAGCGACCCCGGTTTGATAAATAGAACGATTTTGTGGATGGATGGGTCGAAACTGCCTACGACTCACGTTTTAACGTTCGAAATATCTTGGTTTGATTCGATCGTGACGTTTGGTTACTTCAAGCGCTTTTACGGAACGCCGTTTTACAATTAAATGATTTTTTTTTATTAAATTAACCAAAACTTCTGCGACATTGCAAAGAAGAATTGACATTTTCAACCAACGATCATATTAATGAAACCTTCTATCAACTTAAATATGGAACAAGTTCTTTAAAAAATCGTGTATTGGATTTCAATAAAAATGTTCGGACACTTCCATCATAATCTTTTCTTAAGTATTTTTTGCAGTAAACACGAAGTAAATGTCAATATCAAGTTGCTTTTTTTTACTATAACACCATTTTTTAAATCCATTTTAGAATTCTGTTTCAATTTCATGTAGCAGGTCCTATACTTATCTCTTACTTTTTATGAGCTAAAAGATAAAAAAAAACAGAAATTCAATTTTAAAATTAACGGGTAAGCAGCTAGTGCCAGTAAAGTTCTTAAAATGTTACAATTATATTTATGTCAAAAAAGAAACTGAATATGGCGTATCTAAATGAAATCGGAATTGAAACTTTAATTTTTATTGAATATGGAAACAACATGAGAACTCAAAACCAAGTTTGTAATTTGCTTAACGCAAAATATCCAGAAAGACCCATCACAAGGCCCACAATGAGTAAAACTGAGAGAAAATTTATATAAACGGGGAGGCCAGGTCATCAAAAAATTAATGAGACCACAAAATTAAACATTTTATTAGAAGTTAAGGATAATCCCCATCGTACATCTTCTGAAGTACTTTCAAATAATGACGTTAGCCAACGAACAGCATTGCGTAAAAAGATTACATTACTACACGAGCTGAACGAAAATGATCGCGACCGCAGGCTACAGTTTTTTGAAACTATTAATTGCAATTAATCCCCGATGAATGAGAAAAAAACACACCCAACATCCACAAAAAATAAATATTTGGCCGGGATTTTGCATAACAAAATTATTGGACGTTATCAAAATATTTCTGGGGTTCGACATTTATAGCCTGTTCAAAATTACTTAATTCCTACCCTCGAATTTTTTTTTTCAAATCCAAATTAGCCTTGAATGAATGAAGTGCTTGAATATTTGAATACGGTATTTCCTGCACAGTGAATTGGTAGAGGGGGATCAATATAATGGCCTGCAAATTTTCCAGATATTACCATAATGGATTTCTTCATCTAGTTATATATAAAATCAAAAATGTATAAGGAAAAACCAGAAAATTTAGATGATTGATAATTTAGAATTAGATACGAAATAAAGCAAATTTGTGAAAATATCCTAGCGTTTTGAACCGATTAGCATATTGCCAAAAAGTGGTCGGGATGTTTCAATACCTAATAAAATATAATTTTTTTTACGTGCCCTGTTTCTATAAATTGTCTCTCAGTTTTACTCACGTGGATTTTGTAACGGGTCTTCCTGGACATTTTGCTTTAAACAAATTACAAACATATTCTTGCACTGTCGTTTTGTCTCAATGTCGAATAAAAATTAAAATTTTAGTTTAATTTCTTTAATGACAGAAAAGTAATTGTCACACTTTAAGACATTTACTGGCTTACTACTTACCTGTCTCATTCAAAATTAGGTTTCTGTTTTTTATTCTTTGCTCATAAACAATAAGGGATATTAATAGGATATAATACATGCATTATGCGTGAAATTTAACACAGAATTCGAAGTTGGAATTAAAAAAAATGGTGTTCCATTTAACAAAAACGAGCTATACGCTATACATGTTCTGTTTACTGAAAAAAATGATCAACAAAAAATTATGATGGGCGTGTGCGAGCATTTTTCTTGAAATCCAATACCTGATTTTTAAATTAATTTGTTCCATATTTTAGCTGTTCACTGCATATATTTCATTTGTATAATATACATTAAAATTGTCCAATATTTTTGTATTGAGAATAGTCAGTCATAAAACTCATATTGACTAGCTAGAAAATGTTAAAAAAATTAAAAATTTAAAACCTAAGCTCCTGTAGTCCTAAGCTATTATATAATTTAAATGATTCCAGAAAGTTAGCTTTCAATCAAGCAAGACCTCTAAATCTTTTATTTGATTCACTATTTTTAACGGCATGATATTCAACGAATAATGAAATTTAGGTGATGAATATTTCCTAGAAAAACATATACGGGGTCGTTCTCTCTCATACTCTTCTATCTCTCTATCATATGCATCTAATTTAAATAAATTTAATTCAATTTAAAACTATCTAATAATCTTCTTCTCGATATAGTTTCGAATTAATATTAAGAACTTGAATGTTATACTTTTTCGTTATTGTATCAAAAATTATTTATTGACTTAGTGGTTCAAACGGCACTATAAATTTAAATCATTTGCAGCAATCAAGACAATTTTAACAGGATATCAAAAAATGGGAAACTCTCGCAACGCTAGTTTGAACAAAAGAATTTAAAAATACATAAATGTTTTTAACCAAATCACAAAAAATATTGTAATTGAAGTTCTGTGACGTTATTTAGAAAAGAACAATTCCTAGTTCAATATTATTGGCCCTAGAACTTTACAGGGTTAATCGAATATTCCAAAAAATAGAACCACGCGGGTGTGGGTAAAAATGACAATGTGAAAGTCAAACATTTTTATTTTAAAAAAAAATTTCGAACAAAAACAACAACAAATATTTCTTAAAAATAAAAACGTTTTAATTTTGCAATAGGCTTATGTTTATGTAGAATTTAAAGATATAGTAAGCAATAACATACGATGTTAATTTTATGTTTTAACGATGATTCACTAAATAAATAAATCTATTTTACCAATTTGTTTGTTTCGCAATTTTCTTTTTCATAGCATACCTATACCGAATAATCGTTATCAAAATTTCCATCACGACATTTCGACAAGATATCGTCTGATATTGTCGAAGATCATTTGATGAGGATTGCTTATAAGAGCCTTAATTTTAAAATATAAGTAGCAATAACAACTCAATATTTAAAAGCGTTATTAAAATTTTCTTACAATCGTTTCAAAGAATGTTGTAAAACACGTCCGTTATAATATTATTAAAACTTTTAATTGATACTGTCCTTTACGATAATTGCATATACAGGACCATTCATGTAGATGAACCATTAGACGGATATCAAGAAGCACTTATTTTAATATTCTGAATTTTGGTATGACTTTATATGAGTAGCTAAAAATATTTTTAAATATGCATGGTGTGTCATATAATAGTGGTCAATATCATTTTCCTTATTGTAAATGGAATACTCTATATGCATTTTTGGATTCTAAATAAAATTCTGAATAATTTTTATTTAAGGTACCCTGTCCAAAACTAACAGTTTCTGAGATTTGATATATTCTGTAAAAAAAGTCAGATACAGAACTTTTTCTAAAAAGAAAATACTCAATATCTGTTAGAAAGTTAGAAACAAGATTTATGTCAAAATAACTTTGACCACAGAGCTGTGTATAGCCATCCTTTCCTAAAGCTATACAGCCATACCAAGAAAATGATTATTTTTTCACATGTGTGTGCTATTTTTTTTTTTAAGTCCACAGCAACCGACCCAGGAATTTTGTGAATGGTAAATAGTAGAGTGAGTACTATCTATCTTAAAGCAAACTTTATTTTTATAATAATAATTTCCAGCATTTAATATTTACAATAAAAAACATTTAGTACTGTCAAGTTCAAGAACGCACACCGTGGAGAAAAAAAAATAAAAAATGTCCGTTTGTGTTTTTCCTTCGTGAATTGATTGATTTTATTTGTTACTTTTATGTATTCACCAATAAAATTTTAATATAATAATATTTGATGGAAGTATTTTCTGGACTAAACTTCCCCATTTGCTATTTTGCAGAAAACGCGTTATTAAACCTACGGAGAAATTTATTTATAAAAACAACAAAAATGAATTCTCTGACACCAAATTCGATTACAATAAATAACTGCCAAAGTACACACTAACCTTTTAAATGTTCCGACACCGCGTTTATGGCAGTCGCAATATAGTCTTTAGCAGACATTACTGATAAGTTCTAAGCCAGATTTTAAATCCTATTTTATTGGCAATCACAATAACAACAGCGCACTATATAATTTAAACGAGCCGTAAAATTTACAATCGCGAATGTCGGTAACAATAAGCGCCGAAAAGTAAAATCAATATTATTTTATTTTCACCATTGATTTTGTTATTTTTTAAAGCAGTAAAATTATAAATTTCTGACGTGGATAACTGTTTTGACAAGTTTTATTACCGAATAGTCTACACCGAAAAATCCTGCCCTTCACCGTAATGTATAATACGAACCGGAGATATTGCGAAAAAATAACTTCCACTTATCAGGTTCGAAATAACACATTGATTCTTTGAAACGCACGTCGGTAATCTCGCATAAGAAAGTTCTGTTTGCATTACAGCGGGATGATTGGCGGAAAAAATTTCAGTTAAACTCTGAAGAAGCCAACAAGTTCATAGACGAAACGTCAGCAAGTTCAATTTATCATAAAGAGTATTATAGTATTATTATTAGTTTTTTTGAAAATGTCGACTTCAAATATTTTTATTATTCCTGAAATAAATATCTATGCAGTGTGTCCAATTTAAGTTGTAAATGCAAGGAATCTACTTAT